ACTGGTAATTTGTATAATGTGTTCAAATCCCAACCTAATAATATATTGGATTTCAAAGAATCAGACTTCATTTTTGTTGCAGCCAAACGAAAATTTTACAACTCTACGTCGCAACTCACTACTGCTCACTACTCATGTACTAATTACACAATAACAATAGATTCATGAATTGGGTGAGTACTTCAAGTACTGCACAAGTAAAATTAAATGTAATTCTCATTCAGCCGATCATGCATTCCAAAGTAAATGAAGTCATGTTCCTTAAATATATTTCGTGGTCCGTGGAGTTAAATTATTGGGTGACCATGATATTGTTCTTGTTGATACTTTAACAAGTAAGCATTCTATTGTGTATAAGACCACTTATTCAAATCTCATTACCTCAACTCCATAATTCCTATTTAATAAAAAGGAAAAATGCATATTCAAATATTTTAAAAATATATTCGAGTTCTTCTAATATTCAAAATAATTCCATTTTTGTTTATTTCCCACTGGAGTCATTGATAAAATTTTGTAAATGATTTAAAAAAAATCTTCCATTTTTAGTTATCAAAATTTAATAAAAGAAAATAATTTTTTTTAAGGTTTCCTCTTACTTACTCTTCCCTGCTTTCTAATGATGATTAAAAATTCATTGATTAATTTTTAATTATTCCCTATTAGAAAATAACGATACAAAATTCAAATGAAATTTTAAGATTCTCCTTAAAAATGAACAACATTACAACATTTTATAATCCTATAAAAGCTCAATTCCCCAAATGAACATGAAAGTTTTTTTATCTCAGTTGTCTCCATCATTTATTGAAAAGAAATTTCTGGATGATTTCATATTATTATAAGAATATTGTTGAATACAAGATCTACTCGACTACTAGGAGATTTTATTATTGTAATCGTAAAGCAATTTTAAATTAGTGCTACTGTGAAATTCTTTAAAGTTTTTTGTTAATGTTTGTTTTAATATAGCGATCGTAGTATGTCAGATCTGTTTTCCTGCCTTTCTATTTTGCTATACTTAAAATGTTTTATAAACTCAAATTTTACTAAAGAAGTTTCTATAACCATGACTCTGTGTAAAATTATACGGCAAACACACATGAAAATATTTATTAATACACTGTCCAGTTCAACCTGTACTCATCTAATAATGAAAATCTTACTCTATTTGTTTCTAGATAAGGAATCGTATATCAGTTAGTTCTCCTAGTTTCTAATTTTATTTCTGTATTTTCAATTAATTCACCTGCATTTTTAGGTACTCGTATCTATAATTTGTTTTTCTGTTGATAACAATAAATAAAATCTTTAGTGATGCTTTTACTTGTAAAGCGTATTTTTATGAATCTCAATCCACTTCACCATCATAGACCCTAAAATACAATTTTATTTAACTATCTTAAAAATAATTTTAATCTTTAAAGATCTAGACAATTGCCTTATTAACATTCCATATAATTTTTATAGGATTCGGCGTTTTTATACGCAATTCATATTTACAAAATATCAATTTTAATAAATGACCTTTCCTAATACTTGTCTATGTTTCTTATGAATAGGGCTACAATTTTCTTATATATTTTATCCTAGATTTTGAAAGTATTACCTTTCCCAAAGTAATGCATAACATAAAAAGAATCTGGCAATAAAAATTAAAGTAGTTCAAGGACACAAAACATTTTGATGTGAGTAGTTGTATCTTGGTCAGAATATATTTATGTACATACGTAACGTGTGTTATCTTTACATTAGCTCTTAATATTTTATAATATTCTGGTAATTTAAAGCGAAATATAAAGTTGTCACGTTTTCTTTTTATTTTTGGTCATACGAAATTATGTCGTAAGTATGTTATTTGTCATAATAAGTAAAATACTGTATGTACTATATTTGTATGTATATAATGTATGTAACTATTATGTGAATCCGTCTGACATATTCCACATATAGGTATATACATAAGTAGATACATATATTTTATTACGTATATTTAAATATACATTGTGTATGTACCGTTAAGAATTTCTGTCAAAGTTAATGTTCTTATTATCTTTTACTTTGTCTTCTATAACATTTTTTTTTTGCAATTACCAGTTCCTGTACATCTTTTCATCGTTTTGACATTCTTTAACATAAATTACATTATTTTTTATATACATACATACTTGTACAAACATATTATACCAAAAGATATTGAAGTGAACCTTATACGTGATCGATCAAGCTACTATCAACAAGTCTACTAGTACCGATTCATTTAAGCAAAAGGTAGAGTTATCAGGCGAAAATATTTTCAATACCTGTTCAATATTTGTTCTTGTTCTAGAAACCCTACTTCTCTGAAAGCCCTTATATGCTTCGGGTTATTTTAAAATAAAATAAGAATGTATAGTTTAATCGTTAATAATCGCAGGATATCTAATTAAAGTCCTTGGAATCTAATTTCCTAAAAACGTTGATTACTCTCAGCGTAAAAACATGAGATCTGTTAATTCTATTCTCAAATATTTGATCAATAAGTTGATTATTCTCTTTTCCTTTATAAGAATACATAGCATAGAGCTATATTAGTGCACAAATTCAAAAACAGTCACAGACATACTGAAAGATCCACAGTCATGATTTATCTATATCAATTTGCTCTTCCGATGAAATTTTTATGTTAAACACTAATTTTTAATTCCGATGAAATTTTGTCGTTAAGTTATGCAGAGTGTTGCGCATAAGGTGGCAAATAACTTGAGGAATGTTTGATCAATTTCCAGCAAAAAATTGTATGGGTGGACGGGAGGGGGAGATGTAAATATACTCGTTTTCGAGCTCCAGGCTATTGAAAAAAAAGTACTGAACTTTTTTTTTGCATATAAATAAATGCTTTTAAATTCGGAAACATGCAACATAAAGTTATCAGTAGGAGCTTGTCTTACAGGCGATTGATTGTTTTTTAATTTTGGCCTTACAATTTATTAGATTTGAGCCTCAGTTTTCGAGATTAAGCTCATCAAAGTCAGATTTTTTTTTTGTTTTTTTAATTTTTTTTTTAGAAAACTCGATGCGCCGCGATGAGATCGAAAAGTTAACCAATATAGATCTAATTGATCAAAGAATCATCCCTGAAGTTATTTTCCATCTTATGCGAACCACTCTGTGTATGAAAAAATTATGTGAAATTTTATACGAAAGCAATACCTACCTTATTATGATGCAATATGTGTGATCTGAATAAATTAGAACTACATTATGTAGTTCTAATTTCCTAGTATTCTAGTATTCTTAATTTGATACGCAAACATTTGATAAGGAATACTAAATGTTCACAATAATTCGGAGATTTTTGGTTCGATACGCAGTATTTTTCTCAAAATATTTTTAAAAACCAACTAGCATAAACCCCCTATGATAATGGTCACGAACAAACATTTCAATTTTTCTGTAAGAAAAAAAGTTCAGTTGGCTTTTTCAAAATAATGCTAACATTCCATTTGTCCCAATACGTCATTGGAATTATTTTTAACAGTTCATTGGTATTGCTTATTCATTCAGAAAATTAGTATAAGAATTCAAAGGCAATACAACTAACGCACAATTATTTCAGAGAACAGTGATGATTCAAGAACAAAATGTGCAAAAAAGGCGACTAAGATTTTCCAAATTACTTTACTGCTAAAATAATAATATTAAGTTTATTATTGAACTGATATTATTTGAACGCCTTAAAGCTCCATGTTTTAAACTCAAACACAATTTGCATTATTACGGACCACATTGGAAACTATAAGGGAGGTGATGTGATGGTATCAAGCTTCAGATATCGAGTTTTTGGTGGGAACGCACTTTTCCACAGTAGAGAAGCGTGAAATAAATTATTTTTCGGTCTGTCCGCTGTCCGCTGTCCGCGATCTGTGTTTACACGTGTATCATAAGTTTGACTGAACCGATTTTGATAAAATTTTATATGTGTGTTTATTTCGTGTATGTCACGAATTTTTTGGGATACGTCAGATCTCGGGTACTTGACTTTTTTGACAAATCGAACTAATTGATGGGATTTATTGAAACTTAATTTTTGAGTTTTAATTGTTATGGAAACTAACTGGTGAATTTTTCAGGAAACTCTAGTAGCACAAAGTGAAACTCCACTAAGAGCCAAAATTACATTTTTCTAAATATGTTCAATAAAAGCTTACTAACTTGCTTAAATTTGTAAAGAATATTGTTTGAAACTCATTTTCGTGATCTTCTGTAGCACTTTCACTACACTCGACAATACAATATATTGCGGCCGGTCATGTGCTGAGCACATCCGATTTTTTTTTTCACAACAAAATAATTATATGGAGAATTCCGGAAAAGAGATAAAGAAATATTTTATTTTCCAAAAAAAATTATTTTTCGTAATCACATAAACAGAATAAAAACAATAATAATACTCTAAGCGGGAAAAATATTAATTTTGTAATGTCAATAATAAGATTACAAGTAAAATTTAATATGTTTGGCTTAAATTTTACAACTCAACTATGGGATTTCTTATGAAGAACATTCATTATATTAATTTTTTTACAAGGTTGATAATTAGTTGAAAATAATTCAATTTCACTAGAATTGTTAACATTCCCAAATTTGTTTAGCATTTAAGTTATTCTCATAGTGCCACAGCCGCATGAGTAATAACAAGACACAACTAATTGGACTTTAAATTGATAGAAATCATGATCACGAGTGGAGTAACAGTTCTCAAATTTTATTTTCTATCACATTATAATAAAATAATCTATGCATAATAAGAAATTATTTTTAGAAAAAGCTTATGATAAGCATAAAAACTTTTTACGCTACTTTTTCATACATTTTCAAGATCAGGTCATCATGGGTTATCTGTAAAACACTGAACTGCTGCAAATATAAATTTTATAAAATTTATTTAAGCTTTTATTAATTTTACTAAACAATTATTGTAGGCATCTAAATTGAATTTAATATTTAACTCATTTTCAATTTTTAATTGAGAAGCTTATAGTAATTAGTTAGTGCAAATTTAAAGAAGCTGCATAAAATAATAATAACTAAGGCAACTAAAAGTATGTAAATTAAATTTTCAATTTAATGTGGTAAAAATTTTTTTGTTTATATTTTAGTGGATTTTAACGCAATAAAATTGCAAAATTGCTTGCTTTTAGGAATATTGATTTTAATTTCAAGTAATAGTTTAGCTTCTCCAATAACAGGAATAGAAAGTACAACGTTAACTCCTGTTACTAACAGTAACAGTGAAAATAATGATGAAAAAATATTCGTTTCAACTATCACAATTAATTTAAAAATGAAATTGAATTCTACTAAAGATGTTGATATAGAACAATTTTTCAGTGCTGAAGATTGCTCATGTGAAAATCGTTCAAAAAACAATAGCTCAGGATTAAAATTAAGTATAAGTATAAATAATAGAGTAATAGATGCCAATCAAATTTTAAATATTAGTTTAACTAGAGACACCAAACAAGAAGAACCAATCGTCACTACTACCGAAGAAATTTCAACTAACTTAGATATAAATAATGATTTAAAAACTACTCAAACTTTAACAAATACAACAAATGAAATTATTAATCAAACAGAATCTTTAAATAGCCATGATGAACTTGATCTTGATTCACTCGTAATTGAAACTATAGAATTATCTGACGGTAAATATATTGGACCAAAAAATTTACCATCACATTGTTCGCCTCATTATACTTGCCGCAAGAAAACTAGTATTACAAAAAATGAAAAAATTTGCATTTTGTATGTTATGATGTATATAGATTGTGGTGGTGAACCAATACAAGTTCATCCAAAAGATTGGTCTAGAACAATTGATATTAATAAGATAACAATAGAAGAAAATGATTTAAGTGAAACTAAAAATGGAGAAAAATTTAAACAAGCACCAGTACATATGGTTGATTTTCCATGTCAACCAAATTATTTACCTGATCGTCGTGGTATTTGTAGAGAAGTTTGGTGAAAATACAGTTAATATTGATTATAAATTATAAAAACAGTATTTTTTTACTAAAAATACTTAAACAAATAAAATGCTTGATAATTAATTAAAATTATTTTAAAAAATTTGATAAATAAAAAATGTGCAATCTACTTGTAAAATACGTAAACAATATTTGATATTATGTCTGTAAATAAGTTGTACCATGGTTAGTTTAAGCGTACCTACATGGAGCATTATGTAAACGAGCGTTTTTGTGCGGAAATTGAAAGTGCGGTTTAAATTTGTAAAAATTATTCTACCAATGTGAACGTTTTAATAAAAACTGTTCGGAGCAGTAACCAGATCATGCTTTGGTATTTAACCCTGTGTTTGAGCTATCTCACAACCATAGGCTGAAAATTCTCATATTATAATTTTAACTTTTGTATAAGATTCATAACAAGAACACTGTATTTTTGCTTATGTTCTTATTAATCTGTGTTCATTATACCAAAAATATTTAAATTGATAATCTTTCGAGACATAAAACACAATTGTTTTCTTATATTTCTTATATAACACTGCAATATTGTGTTTATTCATGGCATTTTATTAAAAGAAATCTATTTTCCATAAGTATACAGGTTTGTATTCAATTTTTTGTTTTCTTTAACGCTTGATTGTGCTCCTCTTCGGATAAATAATGGTGATATTCGATTCATCAAGAACGTTTTATTAAAAAATTTGGTTTTAAATAGTGTCATATTTAAAAAATGCTAGTTGTTGTATGTGGTGAGTGGCATTTACATGACAAAGTAACCAATATTATATTGTTATACAAAAAGTTTTCCAAAATTCAATAATAAGCTTCCACAAAATATTATCAAATTTAATCTTCTAAAAATGAAGCCCTTATTATTTTATTAATTAAATTATCTAAAGCACAGCTACAAAAATACAACATGCAACTAAAAAGAGGTCTCATCTGAATTTAAAATACTTTATCATTTGTGTATAAAAAAATGTACAATAATAATAATAATTACTTCTGTTTTAACATGACATTCTGTAAACAAAAGAGGCCATTATAGTAAACAAAAACCATGACATTTAGTGGTAGTAAAAGCAAGAAAACAAGTAAATCAATAACAATGTTCATGTACGTGGGAAAAAGAGAGAAAGAAATTAAAATATTTAAAAAAATCTGAAATTTTTCACTTATAAAAATTAAAAGTTCACTATTCCATCACTAATACCATGTTTAACATTTAATTTAATTGTTACATGATAAAAAATATGATAAGATAAAATTGTAAATTCTCCATTTTTCTTCTGATGTTTTTCCACATTGTTGTGTGCCGTTGTTTCATGAGGTTCACTTTAATATACTGAATAAATTAAATAATAATTATAATTGTATTTCTACATACACTTACTATATTTATGTAGGGTAGGGGTACATTACATGCATAAATGTAGGTAACAAGTATTTTTATGTATATTACATTGTCGTAAATAAAAAATCCCTGAGAGAACTACACGACCAAATTTGAAAAAATAAATAAATTTCTCTTTCATTTTTCATTTTTTTTACCTAAAATACTTCTGTAAAATGTACGAACACTATTTTTATATTCTTTAATCCGCTTTCATCATATACTCAAGAGGGAGAGTAATTACCGTTATATTAATTTTCATTAACCATGCAATAAAGCTATTAAGATAAAATAAGGTGGTGCGGTAAACGTCTATCATGTCGTCATTTTCTAAATTTTAAAAACTATATATGAAAAATTCTGAGTATTATGCAAAATGAAAATAAAAAGGAGAAATAAAAATTTAAAGTGACAATGAAAATAAAAATTATGTAAGTGCCGGGGAATTTCATTATAATTATAATGATTTTTGTTATAATTTAATTTAACAGGATGAAAACTGAAACATTTCGTTCATTATGTACATGTGTACAGCACCGGATCTACCATATATGCAAAGTAAGCACTTGCAATGAACACCAGTTTTCTTCATTACTCGTTTTCCAAAAATTTATTTCTTTCTATTTACAGTGAATTATTTTGATAACATGTATCTTTAGACAAACATTGCAATACTCGTACAACTAAACTTAAAGTTTAATACCAGGTTTTAATTCAATGACTAATCTTGCATTCAGCATAATTAAGTTAGGAGAAAGTAATTTATTATGGGCAATGGGCAATGCTTATTGCATATTGTTTCTTGCTTGGAAAATGAGAAGGAAGGCACTGTTTTTAGAAACCACATAGGGCACCGATCAAGGGAAAACAGGGCCTGCATATGTACAACGTATATAATATGTGTACTAATTACGTACTTGGTGTTAAGTTTTTAAGTTAAATTTCTCGCTGACCTCAACTTTATTTAAAATGTAAAAATTAATATGAAGAAATTATTATTAAGACTAAAAATTCAATATGCTTTTTATGAAATTTTCAAGATGTTATTCAGAAAACTTTAAACATTTGTCTATGAATTTTATATTAATAGAAAATTTAGTTCTCTTCATACCATTCATTCTCGTAATACCCGTGTGTAAATATACAAAATTTGAATAAAATTGGTTATAATACACAAAAAAAAAATCTGGTGTGGTCGGAACATAACCGACCGTATTTTTAAAGTTTGACAAAAATCGTTTTTCTAATAATTTTCAGGAATTTATTCGAAACAAATTGGTTGAGGTGAATATCACTTAAACAGTTTATTCCAAATTCTATACAAAGTAAGAAGTTAATCTTTTTAGTTAATCTTCCTAGCAAAATGTAAATTTCTGTCCTAGTATAGAACTTCGTTCATTATAGTCATCCAGTTTTACGGAAAATTTTCCTAGTTATTTTTTTTACCAATCAGATGACCTGATCGTGAAATGTATGAAAAAAATTTAGACGTCAATTAATTACCTTGATATTGCTCTTTAATATATAAAGTTTGATGCCATTACAATACCTTCCTTATCATATTCAATACAATCGGTAATATGTAATCTTATAAATCTTCAACGCGCGTTTAAACGACAACAAATTCATTTAACAATTTTATTTATCAATTTGCTGTCACCATTCAGTGTGAAAGATTGAAACAGAATTTGAATTGAAAAGGAAAAACTAAATAAAAATATTTTGACTTTAAAACCACACACACCAACTTTATCGTTACTACAAACTGTCAATTTATTGTTTGGTAAAGTTAAGGAATAACAAAAACTATCCTTCTCTTCATAGGGATAAGCAATATTTTTTTTGGATAAAAAATCAAATTGAGAAGTTGGGTAGAGTTGTACTGAAAACAAATTTTCAATCTTCAAATTTGTTCCAGTATCCTTGCTGCACTTATTGTTATTAAAATTGTGGAAACTTGAATGTTTTTACAAACTTACGATAAATTGGTTGAATTTTTTGTTTAATCACCACAACGTTTCACTGAAGGCACTCCCAAAGGCTTTTATTATTCAACATTTCATTCAACGCGTATTTATCCTTTATGATATCCAAGCATTACACATGGAATATGAATTTCATAATACACAAATAAAAGAAAACTTTTAACACAAACAAATTCAATTATAGAAAAATTCAATCTGTGAAATAATTCAAATCCAGTTTTATAAAAGTTTTTCTTTAATGCAAAAAAGAAAAAGTAGTTTAAGCTTCAATTTATCTACATAGTGACAAAAGTTTTTTTTTTAAGCAAATCTATAATAAGACACAACAATATTGAAAATTAAAGAAAATAAATCTGTTTCCGGATAAGTCAATAAAAAAGAAAAGAAAGAGTTAAATCCCGTTATCTTTAAAAGATTATAGAATTGCGCTTCGTGAAATTTTCGAAATTTGGTTTTTTTTTTCTGGTAAATTTAAAAAGATCAAGTGAAATTTTATAGATATATAACGAAAATTTGTTATCATTGTAACTCTGGTTTACTATTTGCGTTATATGGATTTAGGGGCAAACAGTGTGAAATTATTCAGATTTAAGTTTTCAAATGTAAAGGATACAAAGAAATTCTATACTTGATTAGATTGCTCTAAATTGAAACCACAATTCAAAAGACCACCTCTAAAATTTAAATTAAAACTGGGTGTCTCCCCGAAAAGTAGACCAATGGTCTAAATGCCTTAGCATTACAATTTTAACTGCGAATTTTGAATTAGTTCGTGTTTAGATGAACTCTCAATTGCTGTTAATAATAAATATCTACCGTAATGAGTTGGAAAAATATTATTTTTTAATTATTTTTGATTTTCTGCATATTAAATTAAAAAAAATAAATTGAAAAATTTTACGTGATTTTTTTTTATAAATGCAAAAACCAAAAAAAAATTAAATAATTAATTTCATTTAATACGATTAAATTGTAATTATTTGTTATACGTGATTCATTTATTAAGAATCTATATCATATTTGTTTTTATATACTTAAATAATAATTAAAAATAGCTTTGGTACATCGCAGTAATATGCATGAAGATTATATACATACGGGTACTATAAAATGAAGTGGTTTTAAAGAATTTAGTAATAAGTATCTTTAATACACTCAAAAATTATATTTCTAGCATACTTCCAAATATTCTCAACATATTTAGATTGAAATTAATGTTCTTTAAAATAATCAGTTTAGCAAATTAAACGGCACAATGGAATTGATCAAGTTTAGATTACAAGCAGTAACTAAAATCCGGTTAGTACCAAACAAATTTAGAACAAATTTTATATATTTCAAAGAATTTTAATCGAAAGTTTTCATGTTTTAAACATTGTATGAAATTTTCTATTGAAGAGTATTAAAAAATGTTTCACAAACCCTATATTGATTATATATTCCACTTATGACTGCAATGAAATAAAGGTCGCAGTACATGGACTCTCAATTCAATTTGGAATAGATTAAGTTTGAAAATTTGAGATAAAATTTTATTTATAAAAAAAAATTAATCACTTTAAGAAATTGAAAAATTTCATTAAAATTTTTTAATTAAAACAACAAAATATTGAGTTTCTTTCAACTCTTTTCGACTTTTGACTGCCTCTTGCCTATAAGTTTACCTATATAATTTCATTTACATGAATTTGCAAACAAAATTGTTGATTTTGTACCCCTTTTTACATAGTTATAAAGTAAAGGGCAATCTACCAAAAATTCCTCTTTAAAATTATCAAAATATGTAATTCAGGCAATAAAATTTTCATAATACATTTTCAGAAATCGGAAATTATTATTTATTTATTCTCTATTTTTTCGAATTTAATCATCCAATTACATACGCTTGATTTAAATCAACGGCAGGCCATAAGTTCATAATATTTAATTTTTACAAAACATATTTTTTTTTTAAATTTTCCATCAAAAAAAAACTAATTATGTGGAAAATATAGAGTAATGTTCTAGTTATTAATAAATAAA